CGTCCAAAAGTAAGGCAGGCGCAAGTACACACGCAAGACACCCACTGGCCGAATCCTCCGCATCCGCAGTGCCCAGCGCTGCATCGACATACCCCTGGTTGACTCCTTTACTTATCTAGGTGCAGTTACGATCACTATGAAGACCGCACCCTGGCGTCCAGAATGGAAGTTGGTTCGGGGAACTTCGGTAGACTGACGCGCGTCCTTCGAGGCCGGCATGCTCTTACGCGTAAACACAAACTGCGCATATGGCAAGCATGCGTCTACACCGCCACAGTCTACGGGCTTGACGCCAGTGGCCTCACACCGGCGGGGATCAAAAGACTCACGGCGCAGCTCATCCGCCAAATCCGGCTCATTGTCAGAGACCCCATCTACATGACTGGGCACTCCCACCATAAGATACTCACTGATTGGGACCTGATCCCACCGCTTGAGGCCCTTCGACGCCAGATGCTTAACGAGCCAGCAGATCCAGGGAATGACCCGCACAAGCGCGGCCCAGGCAGTTCAGCCTGGCAGAGAGTCTATGATACCCTCCTCAAGGAACCCCCCAGCACGCCACTGCTCGAACTCCCCAGCCAAGCAAACGCAGGAGTTCCATGCCCAGAATGCGGCATCTACTTCACCAACCGCGCTTCCATGCTGAGTCACATGGCCAAAAGACACAAAGAACATCAAGCCAGGCCGGTCAACCAAATTTCCCGCACCTTCGATAAGCACAGTGATGCCCTGGGCGGTCTGCTCCAATGCAGGCACTGCAAAGCCAAACTATGCGACTTCTCCAGCTTAAGAAAACACATCAATGAGCGCAGATGCAGGGTGCTATTCCCAGCACAGCCCCTCAGCGTGACCACATCTCATGCAGCTGACAGGGTGCCTGCTGCCTGCACTCCTCACAGCGCATCGGCCCCCGCCACCACCACCTCGACGCACCCCCCCCTGCTGAGAACGTGCCCTCCCCCCAACACACTGCCGAACACAATAACCTGCATATCCCCACCCAATCCCCTACGCCATCCTCTCAAACCACCCTTAAGGCCTTAAGGCTAAACCTAAACCCACGGAACCCGTAGCCCCTCCGCCGAGCTCAGGTCCGGCTCCTGCTGAAAACGAAGACAGCGAGCCATACTTCAACAGGCCTGGTGTAAGGGAGCTCCTGCAAAGGCACTCAGAGAATGCAGCATTCCACCTGCAGGACAGAAGCTGGCTCCGGCAGTATTGTGCCCTGTGCTCCCAATGGATAGCAAGTGCTGACAAAATGAAGCAACACTACAGGCTGTCACATGCTAGTGATCATGAAAGGATCACCGTGTGAGCATTGTGGCGCCTGTGTCAAAGCACCCCGTCAGCACCCTGCCAAATGCACAGTACTTTGGCAGATTTGTCTGATGCACCTCAAACTTGCATCTGTCAGAATCTGTCAGGTATGGATCAGCTTCAGGAAGCATTCGGCCCCCTCGTGGACACACAACTCGGAGCGATGGACTGGGCGAACCCGAAGAGGGAAGCCGAAGAGGGACCGGCCCCTTTGGAGAGAGGCTAAACACCGAGAACGGAGCAAGGCAAGGGGAAGCCGTGGCAGCCGGCCAGACAACCCTGGCGCAAAGGTGGAGGAAAGGGTCGGAACCAGGACGGACCCAACCTGAACTACCTTCATCAAGGCGCTGGCCCGGCTGGCCCTTCAACAGGAAACAGCACTAAAGATCCTACGCCAGGACTACAGCTGGGTCCTGTTCATTCAGCCGGGCAACCAAGGCCCTCTGCCACTGCTCTTCTCAGCCGCGCAGAAATGGAAGAAATCCCAGGAGGAGGGCACCACCACGGCAGCACTACGAACAGTGCTCTTCGGCTGCCTACTCCAGATGCTACACAAGGGCCTGAAGGACATAGGCGGGGAGACCGCAACACAGACCTCAACACAGTTCGAGACCAAAGCGGTGGAGATGAAGTGGCTCCTGGATGGCCACTGGTGCTATCAGAAGTGGTCGCCGGCCCTGGGGAGCCTAGTAGTGGACGAGTCTCGTCCCCCTCTGCCACATGCCAAGCTCGTGGAGGCCCTGCAACTAGCACTTCCACTCGTGATGCAGCCCTACATGATTCATCGATTTCATGCCACGAGACCTCTAGCAGGCACCATGACCGGAATCACAACATTCCAGCTGGACATCTGGAACCGCACCAAGGGACACCAGACGGTTTGGGAGTGCATGGAAGCTCTACAAGGCCTCTCAGCCCTACAGATCATCGGACTACAGCTCCGCCGCGACACTCTCAAGCAATCGCCGGCTGCCGCCCTTGTCCGACAAGCATTAGCCGAATTCTCCTGATAAGGCTCCTCAACAGCAGCAATACATGCTACATCAATGCCAGTGCGCGAGCCTGGCTGTTCACTGTCAGCCATCTTCAGGTAGCTGATGTGCTCAAATATGGGACTCAGGCACAGGCGTGGCGGGACATCTACCATGCGCGAAGGCCGACACATGTTCACGCCATACGATCCTGGCGCACGGCTCTTAGAGACTGGGCTAATCTGCACATGCAACATGATGCCTGCGAGTTTCTGGAGCACATTCACACATGAGTCGGCAAGCCACAAGTACTACAAGGCAGGTCGGAATCCCGCATTGTCAATCTTGCTGAAGGCTCGGAGGTCAGGGAACAACACTTCATGAACAAAGCCATCACATTGAACATCCCTGATGCACCTGAGCCCATTAACATACAAAGCTTGATTGATCATTGGCACCAGGGTGGTACCTACCTCCAGGCCTGTACTACCTTACCCCGTATTGCTTTGCTTCGTATCTCAAGATTCAGAAAAGGCCCAGATGGTGGCTTGCAAAAGCTCCATACCAAAATTCGCCTCACACACAGACTTCAGATCCCCCAGTTTAAGGACCCAACCAACCCAAATGAGTGCGATCACGTCCCATACGCGATAGTTGCATGTGTCCTTCATTGCGGTGCTACGACCTCAGCTGGACATTACACAACTAGATTTGTTAATCACCTACCCGCCGGACTAGCCCCGCATGCACCACCACAGTGGAAAGCTGATGATGGTAAACCCATTGAACATATCCACCCACCCCTGGAGAATGATGCACTGCTCAGCCAACAATGCTACATTCTCCTCCTGTGCAGGTACTAACGCTGAGCGTGGGGGTAGCCGCATGTGGGGGACACGCAATCGGCACGCGCTCCAAAAAGACCCAAAAAACTTAGAAAAATTTGCGCGGTGCTGTCACTGTCTGAGGCTACCCCGATATTCATTGCGCTGCTCAGGTACGCACAGTGAGATCAGCCCACCCACAGTGTGCCTCCGGGCCACTCCTTGTATGCATGCAATTAGTCTAGCAAGTTGGTTGGCAAAGATCGGCAGATCAAAAAAGACTCAAATGTGCTGCGTCATTGTGTGCAAACATGCATTGACCTGCAGCCTGCACTTATCTGCCACACACAGTTGTGTCCTACAGTAGCCGGGCCACTCTTGAGCACCTATGCAATCATGGATGTGCACTCGCAACGAGTGCATCCTGCACTCGACCATGTCGTGCGAATACCTTATTCGCTGGAAATCGATGACAGTATCCCCACCAACATGCCCATGCCACTACATGTGGCAGAACAGATAGCGGCGGAGATGATAGAAAGTGGGCAAGTTCGCATGGAAGTTTGGGAATTACTCTGTGACTGCCTGCCCTCGGATGAGCCTAGACGAGAAGCCAGCAGTGGCAGAGCCAGCAGCATGGGATTCTGCAGTGGAGCCTATAGTCAAGGCCCACTTTCTGGATTGCGGCGAAACACCACCTTATTCCCCTGGGTTACCCTGCTAGTGTGCAAGTTCATCCGATCTTGCACACATGTGCCATTTACCAGCGTTGTCCTCCAGCGAAACACATCGATGGGAGCACATAAGGACCTCAACAATGCCAAAGACAGTGTCAACGTCCTGCTCCCATGCTCAACTTTCCGAGGAGGAGGTCTATGGATCGAACAATCTGGAGGACAATGTGCATCACAGGACGGCACACTATATGGTGAAGTACACAACCTCACCATGTCCGGCATCACCTTCAACCCACACCACCGACATGAGACCTACCCTTGGGAGGGACACAGGATAACAGTCGCAGTTTACACTGTCAGAGAAATCCACTCGCTTCAACCAGAACATCGCGAGACTCTGCAGCGACTACAGTTTGCATTGCCAGCCCCCAATGAAGACAGGGCCACAATCCGAGCAGATTTGGATGCAGAGGCAAGTGCAAAAGCAATGCCCCACAGTGCGCCGACAGGCCACTAGAGTGTGCCTCGCGCCACTTGTACATGCTACTGCTCCAATGTACAAAACTACAGAATGGGATGTACAGACACCCTTCATCTACGATTGTGGATTGTGGATGCAGGGAGACCACCTCAGCCAGTGGCCCCTTGTATCATCTGCATCGCTCGCATCCTTTTTAATCCTTTTCTTCCGTGAGCTCCTAGAGAGCCCACCGTTGAACATACAACATCTCTTGATAGATGAGTAGGACGCAGGTTTGCTGCTATTCGTAGCGGAACTTGCCCATGTGGTTCTGTGCTCTTGAAGCACCGGTGCCAAGCACTGCCACGTACCTGACGCTAAGCTGAGCGACCGGCTGCGATTGGAATGGAAAAAATAGTAGTAGTAGTAGTAGTAGTAGGAGGAGGAGGAGGAGGAGCAGCAGCTGCAACGGCGGCGGCTGCGGTGGTAGTGGTGGTAGTGTACGAAGCCATAACAGGGCCTTGCACACGAATGTGCAGAAAGATAATATCTGCACGACACATCAGACCAGGCCGATCAGCGCCAGGAACCGTCCGTACAACCGGAAACATCTCTGTTGATTCCTCTAGTCCTGGTACTGGATCCCTTTTTGAGGGCTCGCGTACTTGTACCACGAAGTACCTACGTGAGTAGATAAGAGGCAAAGCAGAACATTCGGAGGTTTTCTTGTGCAGGTCAGCTGTAATATCTAGCCAGAGCGCTGCTGCACGTGGAAGTCAAACTCGCAAATTGTTTGACCACCACAGCTCACGATGAGCACTCGGCTGCTGCCCCTGGAGAGCCGAGGCTTCTTTCTTCGCACCGCATCTTGTGGCATCCTGTGCCTGAAGGGTGCCGACAAGGACTCCAGATTCGCGAGCAGCTCGTCGTCAGGCGCTTTGGCCTGCGACACGGGCCACATGACATGTCGGAAGACACGCGCGTCCGAGAAGCTTGCATGTTGACGCCTGGTCAGCATGCCTCGCACACCGCAATGCTGCTATGGCTTCGTCGAAGCGACGCCATGCCTCCTGCACAACAAACCGCTTTCTAAGTGAGAAATTTGCCACGCGACGTGTTTCCTCCTCAGTTGCCACAGCATTGCGGTCCATATCAATCTTGGTGGATGCTGCGGCTCTTTCGCATCCTTCCCACTACTGGCACTAGGAACCCGGTGATTTCTCCTTGTACGATTGCAGATTCTCATACAGCACAGCTGAGAAGACTCATGCACAAGACTTTGCACCCCTGATGCAGCGATGCAGCCAACTATAACTACCAGCATTGAGAACATGGACAAGCTGCGAAATGAGAATCGGGAGGCTTAGACTCCAGGAAGCGGCAAGGAAGAACAAAACGAGCCTTTCTCAATTTGGAGTTCGAGTTGAAGCAAGCTTGACGGCTGTCTTTGGCCGGCTGCGAATCTGCTGGCTGAAGCCCCTCAGTCCGAAACAACTGGTCCGACAGGTCGCACAGAGCGGCTGCCCTGCCCGCTAGCCCCATCGGCCATGCATCCCTGCACGCTCACTGTGGGAAAGCTCCTGCAGCCTGCCAAGACGGCGACTCACTACCGCGACATGCCACACTTGTGCTTGCATGACATGTGCGAGAGCCTGAGAAACCTCTAAAGCTAGACGATTCCAGGACAGCTACATCATCGCACACCACGCAACACTTAGAACAAAAGCGTCAGAAAAAAAAAAAAAAGCAAATGGAAGCCAGTCGTGCCTGCTTCGATCAGTGCTCTTGCCATGTCGTGAGACACTGTAGATTGTTATGCAGACCGGCACCCTTAGCTTGTTGTAGATCCACACGGATCGAACTCCAGGAAATGGAATCTGCTTATTCATTCAAGATTCGCGGAAATGGCGTACAGAAGGAACATAAACCTGCGAGCCATAGGATGTTACAGCCAGCCGAGAGCAGTGAAAAGAACTATCAGGGATCCCGCCAGAATGCCCACGACATCTTCTTCTTCTCCGCTGTGGTGACGATCACATAGAGAGAGAACACACAAAGCGCCGTCTGGCAAAACTGAATGTAAAGAGGAAGAAGGTGGCATTGCAGGCAGCTGGCAAATTCGGGTTACCGGGCCTTCAGCAGGATCAAGGCCTCCTGAAGGAATGCAAGCTTCAGCACAAGCCCTCTGCACACACCCCATCTGGCCTTGGGAATGCGCCTCGGATTCGCCGCGAAGACAATGAGGGTCTGCGGCAGGTGTCCAAACTTTACTTCAGCAAGTCGCACCTGCAACACCACCCCAAAAGCGGGAAAGTCAACGGCCTGGGCAAAGATCATACCCGCAATGCCCACCACCGTGACACCGGTTCCCTCCTATGCGCCATGCCGTTTTGCGAAGCCCAACGTTTAGTGTCAAGTGGTGCTGCTTTGGAGCAAGCTCTCATGACGGATCCTTGTCTTGCCTCAGCTCCAGCTTCTTTGCTTGGACGACGAGGAACATGCCAACAATAGCCTCTCCCAAGAAGGGCTGGCATCATGTACACTGGTCCGTGGGTTCAGAGGTAGATGTTGCCTCCAGGATGGCTGGCACAACGAGGGTCTGAAAGGCCTCAGACAGGTCCGTCGCTCCGCAAAATGCGAGACATCACCCGACACATCAGACAGTCTCGGGATGCAGCACCCCCCATGGCGATGTGCCGCTCGTCTTGCGAGGTGTTTCGGGCCGCTCCTACTGCTCTTACATAGCAAACCGACAATTACATGTAAGACGAACCGACGGCTCTGCAGTGAAAAAAACATCCTTAGGGTCCTTGACTGCCCTTGATCCTTCGATCCGTGTGTAAGCCAGACTGGGCGAAGCAGGCAAAAAGACAAGGACTTGTTCTATGAAGGTGCCTTTTGAGCAAGACTGTTTTACAGTCTCATACTGCCACACACGTGCAGCGCACAAGGCTTGGGTTCAATCCTTTTGCGTCTGTCGACAATGCAGGAGGATTTCGCTGCAGGAAAGAGACAACAGACACGGAGCACTCACACAAGCTTGCACCTGAGCCCTGAACAAACGGGGCTGCCATGGCTAGCAGCTGTCATCACTCTCTGCTTGTGCTCGGTCACCATGTGTCGGTTCTGCACCCACCGGTCCGCAGCAGGCATGCAGCAAAACATAAGCTGCAGAGCATCTGTCGCCACATGCAGAACACGAACATGGGCTAAGTTTGAAACGAACTCTAACAGTTCTCTAACATACTCGATCCCGTGGAACGCCAACTCAAGGTGATGTCTGCAGCTCATTGCACACCATGCGGCTGGTGAAACATGTGGCTGCCAGAGATCTCGGAGCACTCCAAGGTCTTGTCAAACGTGGCGGCCTGTGTAAGGCCTACAACGGCCAGACCAGATCATGTGGGCATAAGCCTCTTTAGAGCGACGGACTGCAGTTCAAAGAGAAAAGGATCACTCACCGAGGTCTCGGTAGATCCTCGCATCGCCGCCCAATCCCTGCAGCAGGCTGCGATTCTCTTGCAATGCTTTGCTGATTGTCACACGGCTTTGCATCACAACCTGTTCTTACTTGCATAAACGTGCACGGCAAGCTTGCCTGGGCCCATGCTCTCAGCTTGTCGTACGCCACAACTCCACACAAGACCTGGCCAGGACAGCAAAAAAGTGACTCATCCGAGCAGCCATGGCTTTCCCCTTGAAGCGACGGTGATGCAGGACTGCCACCAACTCAAGTCTTAGAAGCTCCACGCCTTCCCGGTCTTGCGGTTGAAGAGATATGGGACCCCACCACACTGGTTCCTGCAGCTCTGTGTAGCCGGGCAAGAACGGGCGATGTCATCAAGAGCTTTTCTTGGCATCTCGTCGACGCATCCTCAAGTCGATTGTTGCCCGAAGCCTCTCGTTGAGTGGGTTATCCCACGCCTGGCACAGAACAGCCAAAGCTGCAACGTGATCATTTAAAGCCACGGTGATTGAAGCTACTTAAGCAACGCAGCACGGTCTGCCAGTCACTCGTACAAATCTCTCGTGCCATCCGAAAAACTGCCCGGAAAGAGACAAGCTGAACCGGAGCCACACCCGTGCCTCCAGCCAGACGATCTTTGTGCCTGGTAGCTCCTTTGGCAACAACATTTGGGGGAAAGCTCTTGGATCGTTAAAGGAGCTGTCAAGAGTTGCTGGCTAACTAATTCAGGGGTCGTCCTTCTCGAGCAGATCACCCAAGAATCGCATCCGCTTCGCCTGCCATGAGCGCATAAAGCTCGCAATCAGATGTGTCTCCGATGCAAGACTTCCTCCATCGACTGCTCAGCATAGAACCCGATCAAATGAGGCTTCCTGCACAAGCGGCATTGAATCATTGACGTTGAAGTAATTCAAGCTGCTGTCTCCCATGCCCGATGTTCGTTTTTACACTAACTACCCGAGGCTGCACCGCAAGCTGCCCAAATTAACGTAGAAGTTCCGTCCACGCCGCAATGCCCGCCCGAGGGCCGCGCCCAAGCAACTCCGCTTCAGGCAGCACAGCATGCACTGCCGAGGCAGACACCTGGACATCCAAGTCGATGTCTGTTAGCGGTATGGCTCCTGGCTGACGTGCCTTCTTGACAGCTTCCGGCAAGCTAACCAATGACCTGTCCAGCAGCACTGGCATCATCTCAGAAACTCCTGACTAACCTCACGCTGCTCTAGCACCTCCCCCAAGGACTGGCAGGCATGGTGGACTGAAGTGTTAGCAGCAGCGCGATGGCCTTTGAGTCGCTGTGGCACAAGAAGCATCAGGATGATTGTATTCATTTAACACATCAGCCAAGTGTATGACCAGACCCACACCGGGCCACACTGACCGCCGGTCCATTTTCACCTGAACACATGATGCCACGCTTTCGCTTCATTTGCTCGGTTTGCCATATCGCACCCAGAGCACCTCTTGGCCCCGTCTCTTCGCAGACATCACGACAACAATAAGATGACCCTTGCTTGAACCAAAAATGCCACCATCGAACTTTTGTTCGACATTGAATGTTTCGACTTTCGGTCATGTTCCAAAACTGACAGTGCAGTCTTCTAACACTAAAGTATATGTCTTGTTTAAGGAAATGTCTGAACAAACAATTTCGTTGAAGTGCTTTTCCACAAAATCCACCAATCACTACTGCATCCTGCGGCACCGGGGATGCTAGCGTTTGCTTTGATGACAAGGCCACGATCCAGCTTCCATGCAAAGATAGTCTTAAAACATGTCCTGGTACACGGGGAACTGCATGCTCTCGCCAGGCACCATGCAGGGCCAACTAAAGAGCAAACAGAACGATCCACAAAAAACAGACACAAGGCATCTGCATGACAACGTTTTCGCTGCTTGGCTCAGGAAATTTAAATCCCAGCAGAATGTTTGCCTTTGTCTGATTGCTGCTCTTGTTCGGCTGCATGACTTCTCACAGACGCAACGAGTGCAAATTGCGAACGTCCCCGCATGATTTGCTCCATGTCTTATTGGAGCAACGAGCCCTCAACGACGAAGTTTTCAACGGCTGCTTTTTTTTCGACTCCGAAATGTCATTTTCCAGACCGCGCGATTGGTCCAT